CCCACTCCCGTGCGCGTTGTGGTGCTTTCAGCAAATCCAGAGCAACTTCATCGTGGTGATACACCCTGGCTCCACGACCCTGCGGCTCGGGCGGGCCACGGACACGCTGCCCGTGGGCATTCCCCATGTCATCGCGCGGCGGCACAAGCAGCAAGGACAGGCGGCCTACAGAGACAGCTGGCTCCTCAGGGACGGGCTCAACGTAAGCCGGGCCGCGCTCCAGCGGCACGTCCTCCCAGCTCGCTAAAATGGGCCTTGGAACTGCGCGTTTCGGTTGCCGTTTCCTGCCGTGTAGGGCCCGTTTTCCCCTCGTGCATCGTGTTTTTCCAGAGGAATATGTCTCGACACAAACCGTTTTCCCGTTTCACGTCAGTCGATTTGCTCCAGTCTGTGCTGGGGCTTTATTTAGTTTATTCGCCATGAACTAAACCTAATAAATTGATAGGTTGAGGGTTTGGACTCATTGATTGCTCTGTGGTCTGATACAACACACAGTATTTCTGTTTATAGAATGACGACTGTAGAACTAGAATTGGAAGGCTCCATTTGTGAATGCGTTGGTTACAAGTTGGCTTGTAACTTGGATAACGTAGCCGGTAATTTTAGTCTAACCTGCTCAAAAAAATATATGTAGTGATCTTATTCATACTTTGAATCTGTACAGAAAATCATTAATCAAATTAATGCCTCTAATATTAAACCTCATCTTTAAATAATTGAGATCTATTTAAACATTTTTGCTCCTACTTAATATTTCTGTGGTTAAATAGATAATGTCCTGAGTTCATCACTCCAGAGATGAAGTCCAGCAGCCATTACAATCAGTTAAAAGATTCAAGTTGACTTAGACAAATAGATCTTGGGAACTCTAATATAAAAAAGAGTTTCTTTAAAAATAAGCCTATGTTCATTGTATAAAACCTTCTGTCCTTTCTGCCATCTATCAACTACAGTAATGATTTCATTGTTTAATAATAGCTTCAGTATTACCAGCATACAGACATGTAATTAGAAAGTAAGTATTTACGTTGCATATTTTTGGGTTTTGTTTAGAAACCTGAAAGCACTGAGCAGAGACAAAATGGCCTTAAAATGGTGGACCAAGCAATATGGTCCAAAAAGATGTCAAATGGTGCAAGGCGTATACCAGTGTCACCTGATCAGGTAACTCATTCTTAAGATTTTATTAAATCGTTCATTCATACGGTCATTTGGTGTGATGCTATATTTTAGTGGAGAAGAATAGATATCCTTTATACAGCAAAAAATGGATAGTGCTATTGTGTGACCTAACTCTGAAGATCTGAGAAAATGAAGATTTAAAATGGTTCTTCGCAGGGTGAGGGGGGTTCTTTTTTCTTTCATGCACAAAAAGTGACTGATAAAATATTTATCAACAGCACTTGTTTTGATTACATTTCAGGCCAGGTCATACAACAGACAGATGCGGCCAGCTATTTTAGATCACAGCTCTGGGGCCAAGTGGACAAACACATCAAATCATCCTGAATTTTTGGTAGGAGAAGAGGTAAGATTAATTTTCCTGCTGAAACGGGGCTTAATATTACGTTTTAATGTGACTACCTAATCAGTAGCAGTTTGCTATGTGTTAGTATGTGTTGAAAAGCATATAAATTTAGTCAAGCAATACATGAGAAGCTTTACTATGAACTAACTGAATATATATTATTATTCAGCAAGACCAGACAGTTTCTCCCATTTGCCTAGCAAGTAACCTTGATCCTATACTGCTGTAAATCAGTGTTTCTGCAGGGACTAGGTGAGAACTTTACCCATGTGGTATAATTCAGAGAAAAGGCAAGAAACTCATAAAAGGATCAGTACATGGAATCACTGCTGAGTAATTAGGTATTCATGAGATTCAGAGAGTCTAAATTAGTTACTAATTTGAGATAATGGAAAAATATACTGTTATGTTCATAGTGGATGTCCACGGAGATGAAAATTCAAACATTAAACCATGTATTTATTGTCTTTTTTATTTTAATGCAAGCCCTATTAAAAAGAAATCCACTGTATTGCTGTCACATTGGTCTGAGTGGTGCTGCATGTCTTGTATCTGCTTCTCAAATATTTTTCTAGTATTTGTTACTAATCTTTTGGGAAAAACAATGCATAGAACATTGTCCCTTATTTTCAGGCACTGTATGTTAATCCACTAGATTCTTATAATATACATTGGCCTATTAGAAGAGGGCAGTTGAATCTCCACGCAGGACCTGGTGGCTCCCTCACTGCAGTATTAGCAGACCTTGAAGTTATATGGTCACACGCAATACAAAAATATCTGGAAATACCATTGAAAGACTTAAAGGTGAGCTGTGGACACATTAATAAGGGCTGTATCCACTTCTGTAAACGTTACTGTGAAAGAGAAGCAACTTGCTGTTAGTGTTAGCCTCTTACTGGTAATTTTCTTAAAGAATAAATTATTTCTCCTGGCGAGCATGGTTCCTAAGACTTCATTTGGAATTCTGTGCATGTCTTTAAGACAAAAATTGTTAACAGAACTTCTGCCAAGGAGGAGTGAAAATCCCATTATGGAAGTTTCAGTCTCAGTCTGGGATTTTTATGTTGACTAAAATGGAGGCAACTGAGGAATGGGTGGCTAATATTTGCATAATTTCTACTCCTTGCTGAGTAGGTGTTTTTCTCATATCTGACGTACTTTTGAACATTTTAGTGACCTGTATGAACTTAACTTGGTACTTACTCTGAACTCATTTTTTAAATTATTAAAACCCTTCCCCCTTCCCATAATTTTGCTTCTTTTAAAAACCTGTATATTATGCTTTCTTCCTTAGCATCAGGTATTCAAGAATGTAAAGAGAAACCTAATGTGAGAGCTGGCTTTAATTTACTGTTCTTATCTTCAGTACTACAGATGCATTTTACTAATTCCAGACATCTATAATAAACAACATGTGAAAGAACTGGTAAATATGATCCTAATGAAGATGGGCTTCTCAGGTAAAACCATACATAAGCATACTTAATGATTAACAGTGTAAAGATACTTTTTTTTTTTTTTTAAACCTTTAAGGTACATCTTTGCACATCAATCCCAGTTTGGCTGGGACTAGCACCTTTCATCTTTTGCTATTCCCATACCTGTTGTCTCTTTCAATGGGGCAAAATGGTTGGCCAGCGTTGAAACAAGTTTCTCAGTTTGCGATTAGGTATTCCAGCCGTGGGCTTCTCACTTCAGCCAAGATGAAAGTAGCAACAGTCTGATTTCTCAGGTATTTCTAAAATGCACAATGTTA